AAGGCCCCAGTCCCCCCTACAGGGATGTCCTGCCTGTACCACTCGTCACGGGTGTTGCCCAGCTCGGCATGGGATGTGCATCTTTCTGCAGCCCCAGGGGGCTGGCGCCACTCTCCAGAGGACTGGCTTCTGGGTTACCTCAGGGCATGGTCTGGGACCGTGCCCTGCCCCACTTTTTTCCTCCCCTTGCATGGTTTTTTTTTTTTTTTGGACACCTGGATATCCAAGTATCTAATTTTGAGCCCATGCTACAAATATGCGCCGTGGTGAACATTTTTTTGTTCGGACCGTGCCTCCTGCAGCGTCTCAAACTGGTTTGGGATGCTGCAAGAGTCATGTCCCTGCTAGTCTGGATGTGCCCTAGCAGTCCTAAATACATAGTCATATTCAAGAAATGGATCCATGCACAATTGGAACTTTAATCACAGAGCCCAGAGTCTTACTGAATTGGAAGCACATTATGGGACATCAAGAAATACAACCATTTTATTAATTTTTCTTCTCTTAAATGAAAAAGAATCAAACTTTTTAGATCAATCAAATCCACCGACGGCACATGGATGGCACCAAAGTCACATGGGCGGAACTTGGTCCCAAGAAAACCAACTGATTTTAGTTTTATATTTCTAAGGAAAGGCAAACCTGTTCCAATTGCTGGGAAGGCAACAGATGTGTATCCTCTCTCTTCACACTCCTGAAGCACTTTAGAGACCTGAGCTTTGATGTCATCACTGGCAACAAGGTGAATAATTTTCTTACACTTCAGATTTCCACCTTGAGTGGTTATAAAGTTATTGTGAGGTTGGGTGGCTGAAAGATGAAACAAAATGAGATGTAAGAAAAAACAATTTATGTAAACTTGTCTGAAATCTCTCCAGTTGCCACCTGCCTGTCCACCCTCTTCGTACATCTTTACCTGGGTTCCCAATGATCTCCTGCAGAAGATTCAAAACTCTTACACCATCACTTTCCAGGACAGTTCACTTTCTTCAGCTGCTTTTTACTACTGACCTACCTCTTTGCTTCTTCCTGAGCCTCTGCCTCTTAGAATCATAGAAAAATAAGGTTGGAAAAATAAGGTTGTGACCTCAGGAGATCACATCTAGTCCAACCTCTGCTCAAAGCAGGACCAGCCCCAACTACATCATCCCAACCAAAGCTCTGTCTAGCTGGGTCTTGAAAGCCTCCAAGGATGGAGATTCCACAACCCCTCTGGGTGACCTGTTCCAGTGCTTCACCACCCTGCTAGTGAGAAAGTTCTTCCTAATATCTAACCTAAACTTTCCTTGTTGCAACTTGAGACCGTTGCTCCTTGTTCTGTCATTTGCCACCACTGAGAACAGTCCAGCACCATGGAGCTCCTCTCCTCTCAGGTTATGTGGACTGATTACACACAGCTTCCACTATTCCCCAATTTCATTTTTCATCCTTTGATGGCTTGTGTCTAAAGTTAGATACAAGTTTCTCTTAGGTAGGAACTTTGGGCACTTACAGAAGTTACCTTTTTTTGCACAATGAAGTCCCTGAAAGCACTCTGCAGTCATAACAAACCTTCATGGCTGCAGAGTGCTTTTAAGATGGCCAATCGCAGGAAAAATTAGCCCTTGTTAAATCAGCTATTAGATGAACACGTTCTGGAGCAGAACACCTTAGGAAACTTGTGTGCAGATTCCCTGCAAGGTCTAATTTTGGGCGATTCTGCCTACATCCTGTGTGCCTTTGTGGGGCTGCCACAGAGAGAAGTAGAACCTCCCTGCGCAGTGGGGGAAGGAAGGCGATGGGGGGCAGGAGGGAAGGCACCCTTGCTGGGGTCTTGGTGGGGAACTGGCCCAGGTCTGCGAGGTCGGGGAGCTTGGATTCCCACCCCCTGCCTCGGCTCCTGGTGCAGCAGCCAGGGCTGTTGTTTGCCAACACGGTAGCGCCAGAAACTGGGGCAGGGGTTGGGGAAACGGACAGAGAGCCGAAACCCCCAATTACTCAGACCTGGGTTGGCTACCCTGCTGGGTCTTGGGGGCAGCTGGCCCTGGCACATAAGGCAGGGGGACTCCGATTCCCCCTGCAGCTCATGGTGTGGCATCCAGGGCAGTTGGCAAGACATTCACACCAGGAGCTGGGGGGGGGGGGGGGGGGGGAAGGTGGGCATAATCTAGACCCTGACACCATGTGGGCATGGCCCAGCTACCCCTGCTTGGATCTTGGCCCACAAGACAAGGGGTAGGATGGGGCGGCTTGGGATTCCCTCCCACCCCATCTCAAACATATTTCCAGCACAGGAGGGAATCCCCAGGAGAGAGAAATAGGCTAGGGGAGGTGGGAAAGCTACCAGCCAGGAAGCTGAGGTTATGGATTAGCACCTTCTTGGGAATCTTTCCTGCAGGCTGGGGAGCTTGCAGAGCATACGATAACACCCTCCTGCATCCTTGCCTCGGCCAGTTCACGCAGGCTTCGAGCCCCCAGCAAACACCTGTTCAGTTTGACTGTGCTGTAACTTTAAGTGTCATGTGTAAAGCATGGAAGTTGCAGCACAATAAGAAGCACCTTCTGACCACTTGTCTAAGCGCCCTTTGTTTCCTGGGACTCCCCCTAGGATGGTGCATCTCCTTTAAGTTCAAAGCAAACACCAACCATTGCGCCGGGCAACAAAAGGTACGATTTAGTCCTTTATGCTTTACCCTGGATTGCAAAATTTTACTGGTACAGGAGGAGAGCGCAAAACAGAGGTCAATTTATACTCCTTTACCTTGATGATGACACCACTTGAAGTGTTTCCTTTGAATAAATCTTAACATATTTGACAGAACTGGGGTCATTTAACTTCCAGCCCCTTGGGCAGGGGGCTGGACCTGATGATCTTGCGAGGTCCCTTCCCACCCTAATGTCTATGAAACCTATGATATGGCATCAATCAATTTAGCAGTTGCAAAAGCATGTACACACACATCCACAGAATGCAGTGCAGCTAGAAATTTCAACCCTGCTGAACACCCCACCTCCCACAGAGCTTGAAATTGTGGGTGATCAACACATTTAAAAAGCAGGTAGTAAGCATATGTTATACCTAGTTGAGCACATTCAGCTTCAACCTCTGATCCAGCACCTTTCAGAATTGCTTTAGAGACACCTTTGAAAATAAAAAGTGGTATTAGTTTGATTAACCAAATGAACAGTAATAGCAGTTTTATTACAACAGGATGGAATACCACATACACCAGGGATGCCCAACCCCGGTGCTGTGTAATCTGGCCTGCAGGGTTCCACATAGGTCCTGTGGGAAGCCCCCCAGGCCATGGCCTTGCACACTAGATGGGGCTTTGGAGGCTGCCCCCACCTGGGCAAGAATGGGCTTTGGCCATGTGGAGGCAACCTAGGGTCCCAGGGTCTGCTCCTGGCATGTTGGGGCAGGGCAGGACCCATGGGCCAATCCAACCCATGGACTGGCCCCACGCCATTGATCTGACCCACAGGGCAAAAAACTACCTGTGAGCAACACTGCAATATGCCATCCAAAGTCTCAGTGCTAGTAATAGTATTGGTCAAGATTTAAAAGAGGACCTTATGGTAGAGTTTAGTTAGTGCTCAAATTTCAGAAAGTGCTATGTATTTAATAGCATTCACTGGGGGCAAACAGAGCTGCTGCTATCTTTATAGATTAAACCAGAATGAACCCAATAAGGCTTCATAAAAATTGAAGACTTATAAAGTTTCATGGAGAAAGATTTATTTGCCGTGGATGTGATACAAAATTATATTCTTGTTGCAGAATTCTATAGGGAATTTTAAATGTGCAAACGATTCTTATTCTGTAATAATGTGTAGGATAAACATTGTTTTCTAAAGTAAAAAAAATAAAAACAAAATGACATTTCTGGTACAATTCCCCCCCCCCCGCCCCAAAATATGAAGAACCAAATGGGGCTCGCTACATTTACAAAAATAAATACTAATAATTACATGCTGAAAATGCTATCTCCCCCCAATACCTTTATGTGTGGAGGTGCACGGTACTGAATTGTGATGTGCAGGAGGTACCCGAGGTAGCTCTGACTGAACTACCTCATTACCAAAAACATTAGGGCCTTGTTAGTGGGGTACTCCATCTCAGTCAATTAATTCTGCCCACTTAATCAGCTTACACAGCTACACTTGATCTTAAACTACAAGAGGCCAGAAAGTCCACACCCAATCTAATTCATTCAGAACTAAGTTGGGTATGTCTGCACAGCACGGCATTTGCCATGTAGCTGTGTCCCCATTAAAGCCATCCCAGTGCATTCATCATTAAAATTCATCACTAACTGGAGTACCTGCTTTGAAGGAAAAGCTTTTATTTGATATGTTTACAATGACATCTGTGTCTTCTTTGGTTATGTCTCCTTGTCCTGCTTGAAATTTAATTGGGCCAATCTGCATTTCATATCTTCCTTTTGCTGAGGTCACAATGGGCCCAAAGAAAACTGCAAGAGTAAAATAAAGGAATTGAAAAGGATGGAAAAGCAATTCAGCAAAGGAGATACTTTCCAGAGGAAAACAGACACCCATCTGTCTGGATGTGCATTTACTACCAAGGCCTTGAAAGTCTGAATTGTAGTCTGTGTCTGTCACACAGATGGAGAGGATTACAAGAATGCCCAGCCCTCCTTGAACAATCAAAGTAATTTCACCCATACTAAGCTTAAGTAACTGTACGGATGGGCAGAGAGATGGAGACAAGATACACCCTCATGCTATGACCGGGTTGCACAGATTCAAGATTTCAGGGATCTATTTTGTAGCTGTGAAGGTCTAAGAAAGGGAGAAACACAAAACTCTTGGTTCAGAGGTATATCTTTTATTAGACCAACTAAAAATAGCAAAAAATCCAAACAAAAAAAATTTTCTTTTCAAGCTTTTGGGCACATGTACCCTTCTTCAGCCTGAGGAGAAATCAAAGATTGTAAAAGTCCTCTCAGGTAGAAAATAAACTTTTGCACAGGGAAGTTGAGGCTGGAAGTATATTCCCTTGGGTATGTGAGAGTCCTTTTGTGAGAATTGCTCTGTGATGTGCAGGTAAGGCTGTCTTCGTCCCTGGAGGTATCAGATGTTAGAGGCAGGCAGGGAGGTGCAGAAATCCTTCTTTCTTGTTTAGCAATCAAGTTTATTTTTCCATATAATTTTTCCTTATCTGCACATGACAGCGCAACTCAAAGCACTTTCACATCTACAGGGGAATAAACTTCCAGCCTCAACTTCCCCTGTGCAAAATGGAGTTTATTTTCTACCTAAGAGGACTTTTACAAACTTTGATTTCTCCTCAGCCTGAAGAAGGGTGCATGTGCCCAAAAGCTTGCAAAGTAAGATTTTTTTTTGCTATTTTTCAGTTGGTCTAATAAAAAGGTATCACCTCTGAACCAAGAGTTGTGTGTTTCACAGATTCAAGATTGCACTTACCATTTCTAATGGGAGATTTCGTATTTTCTACCTAAGAGGACTTTTACAAACTTTGATTTCTCCTCAGCCTGAAGAAGGGTGCATGTGCCCAAAAGCTTGCAAAGTAAGATTTTTTTTTGCTATTTTTCAGTTGGTCTAATAAAAAGGTATCACCTCTGAACCAAGAGTTGTGTGTTTCACAGATTCAAGATTGCACTTACCATTTCTAATGGGAGATT